CAAATACCTAAAAGGCACTCCAAACTTGGCCTTTGGTATCCAGCTAAATCCGATTTTCAGCTGAACGCTTTCACCGACTCAGACTATGGAGGATGCAAGTTAGATAGAAAGAGTACATCTGGTAGCTGTCAATTCCTAGGAGGTAGACTAGTGAGTTGGACTTCAAAGAAACAGACTTGTGTATCCACATCAACAGCAGAAGCTGAATACGTCGCTGCCGCCAGCTGTTGTTCGCAAGTCATATGGATGCAAACTCAACTGCGAGACTATGGCTTCAAAATTTCACAAATTCCCATTTTTGTGACTCAACCAGTGCAATTGCCATTTCTCACAATCCCGTTCACCATTCCATGACAAAGCACATCGACATTCGATATCATTTCATCAAAGACAACATTCAAAAGGGTCATATCGAATTGCACTTCATCAACACCGAAGATCAAATTGCCGATGTCTTCACTAAGGCTCTCGATGAAACAAAGTTCAATACTTCCTAGGCCGTCTAGGAATGTTAAATCCAGATAACATCTATCCTTAAACTTTTACTTTTTGTTTATACAAAAGTGTGTTTACTTTCATTCAAAAGGAAAATTCAAAAACAATTGAAAATTGCTTTCCTTTTAAAAATTACCAAAAACATTCAAATAACCAATATTTCCAAAAACATTCAGAAAAACAAATCTTCAAAAAAAATTAATAAAAGACTTGCCATAATAAGCTTTTATAGAACCTTGTGATTAATCTCCTCTTGACTTAATTTTCAGATGCTTATGCTCGATGAAGATTTTAAGTCATATTGATTCTCAATTGGAGTGAAGGTTCAAATATCCTACTTTTCATAATGTATATAACTTTATTTCCTTCGATTTTATTATTTATTGACGATTTTAAACAATCAAGGGACATAAGGTTAGGAGGTTCAGATGAAACAAAAACCCATGTGAGAATTTGTGCCTCGTCGATCTAAATCATTGTGGAATTCATTTCTTGTGAGCTTAGGTGTGTCACTATTGCTTATAAGGTATACCCAATTATACCTTGTCACGGTCTCATTTTTGCTTAGATATCAAAATGACCAGGGACGATACATTCATTTCTTACATACTAGACAAACTGTCTTTGCCACCTAGTCCCTACCTAGATAAAAGCCAACCAAAAATGAAGACTTGCGATCCCATGATCCATCAAGCAAACAACGACATATCCTTACAAGAAAACCAAGGAGAAACAAATATCATCATCTATCAACCTCACTCAAGACAAATCAACAAGAAAACAAATGGATTCAAAAAGATATACCAAAACAAAACAAAAAAATATTCTATATTTGGTATTTTCAAACAAACCTTCAACCAAATGGTTATTTCAAAACAAAAATCATAAAAATCCCGCGATTTGTTTTAACCATTCACAAAAGAAGATATCTCAATCACTCAAGTCAAATACTCTTAAAAAGGTCTCAAATGTAGCAAATTCTCAATGCTAAAACAAAATATCTTTTTACAATAAATCGATATTGATCAACAAACAGGATACTATCAAAGAAGAAGCTGCAACAACAATGGATTTCCCGGGATACTGTAGCCTTCATCACTGAAGAATCTTAGTTGCAAACTGCACTATGAAAATTGCTAAACCCTCTACATGTATTTCCCGACGGAGAGAGAGAGTGAACTTTAATGGCATGAATGAAGAAACCCGCTGAGTAATGCCGAAACCAGTCTTATGTGATTGATTATCTAATAATGAGACTAAGTGACTTACAGGAAAAGCATAGCTGAACACCTCCAATATGAGTGTGAGTCGTCAGAGAGAGATATCACTCATTTTTAGTGATCATTAACTGTTCTGCTGCCAGAAAACCCAAACACCCAAGTGAAGTGTGAGTTATACCAATAAGCGTTCATCTGAATCGACCTATTAAACCACTTGTCGTCAGAAATAATGCTATAAAATCTTAAGAAATCTCTTTAGATACATATATGGCTACCCTTTGATAACCGAACCCGAGACTTTGATTTGGAAACAAATTTCTGAAAATCTTTTACATAAGATATGTTAAACAAAGTCACAAGCTTTCAAAACAATCACTATGTTTTATATATATCTTATCTTTGACAAAAACAATTATCCCAAATCTTCAAGATTAAAACTGTTAATGTGATAATATTTGTCCTTATTTCATCAATGATCACATAGGGGGAAATTGTTGGAAAATGTTTTTGTATGTGACCATCACTGAAATAAGACGAACTGTTTTGATGTTATCTAACAAATATTATCAGTTATTTCAGGTTGTATCAATACGTAATCAAAACGGTATATACGAAAAACACGTGAATGACAAAAACGCAAAGACGTAAATTCACAACTCGACAAGTCTCAAACCGCATGAAGATAAGAATCTCAAGACTCAAGTCATGCAACTCAAACCACTTGCAAAACCGAATACAAAGATCACAAACGAATCAAACCAAAGCAAGATGATTCACGAACCCGACTCGACTCGCATACCGCGGATATCATGGATCAAATCCAAAATTCAGAACCAAAACATTCAGGTCCGCGACCATCCGCGGCCCGCATGACAAACCGCACAAAACTGATCAGGTCCAGCGGACCCCCCCGCGACGCGACCCGCGTAGATCGAGATTTTCAATTCAGCTATTCAGAACGCAAGACGCGACCTACCACGGCCCGCACCCCTACCCGCGACCCGCGCCCATACCCCGCATACATCGAATTTTTACTTCAGCGCTAGACCGATGCCAGAAGCAGCCATGCACCGGCGCCCCCCCCCCCGAGCATACCGCGGCCCGCCACGCAACAACCGAGTAAAACTCTCCATGCAAGAACATAGAAACGAATAATATATTATATATATGTATATGTGTGTATATGTATATATATATATATATACATATATACTACATGTACGTATATATATACATATGAAGGAAGAAACAAGAAAACACAAAAGCAAAAGTCTCCATCACATTGGTTCTTCTTTCTTTCTAAACTCACAGCTTCATCATCACTTCCAGCATACATACCACCTAGAAATTACTTTGAATATATATACATGCACATGCATTGTATATGTGTATGTGCTGTGAGGAAAGAAAGCAAAGACAACACAAAAGAAGAAAACCCACTTGCATGCTTCCAACTTCTTTCCAGCTTTCACTCCTCAACAATGTTTACTTTCCCTTAAACAAATGAGAGTTACCTGGGTTTTGTGCATATATATATATAGATGCATGCAAGAAGAGAAGTAGTAGAGAAAAACACCAAAGTGTGAATAAAATCACCAAAGTGTGGGAGTGTTGTGGGTAAATACACCAAAAAGAGAGAGAGAGAGAGAGAGAGAGAGAGAGAGAGAGAGAGAGAGCATACGTGAGTATGTGTGTGTGTGGATGTATGTGAGTGTATTGTGTGTGTTAGAGAGTGTTTAAAGAGTTTTCATTGTAATATTCTGTAACTCTTTCACTCCAAAAGAAGAAAGCCAAAGCCAAGACCAACAAGCTTCAAGAACAACCTCTTCTTCAAGAACAACTCAAGAACACAAACACTATTCATCATCTTCCACACATTCAACCCATCAAACAAAGCCTATACCACCTTTGTTTACTACACCAATCACCACCAAACACCTCTCTCACATCAAAACAACCGATACCAACACATCAAAACAACCAATACCAACACCCAAAACAACCGATACCAACACCCAAAACAACCGATACCAACACATCAAAACAACCAATACCAACTTTCAAAACAACCGATACCAACACCCAAAACAACCAATACCAACACCCAAATCAACCAAGACAACATACCTACATTACCAACAACAACCTTTCAAAACAACCAGAAATACCTTAAATACAATTACATAAAAACCAGTGTATTTGTCTTACTGTATAAACAATTGAGTAACAGAATTTTGAATAAATTTTATGTTACTTATACCTGATTGAACATTGAACAAATAGAGACACAGTCTATTAAGATCCAGTCCAACCTTAAGCCGTTCAGTCATTTATTTGACAAAACGTACTTTATAGACCAGTCGTTCCACAAGTCCAGTTCAAAACCCACCTACTATATCTATATTTATATATTTTATTACAGCTTTATGTCATTTAAATACTGTCATTTATTTCATTTATAGCTTTCAGTCATTTATAGGTTTCCAGTATTTATTTATTCCGCACTTCTTATCTTCCGCATCTAATCTCATTAAATATATATATCTGTCACCCAGTAACTGGTAACTGAGCCTTTTATTCGTGGTAATCAGATCGTATATTTTTAACAAAGAGGATGAGATTTCTCAACATAAAGAAATACTTTTAAGTAATAAAAAAGATTTAGTGCATATAAATTTCAGAATTCTACAAGCACAAAATAAACATACTCACGAATATATTCACAACCATGGTTAATATACGTAAGTACCACCAACCTTCATAGGCAAAAAAATGCATCAAGAACACCTTGATAAAGCTTTAAACTCAGTTTCAGAACTCAGAAAAAGGATTTTAACTTGTTAACATTTCTTAAACATGAATAAAGAAATTTTCAACATTTCTGAAGAATGATTCAGAAGAAAAACAAATCCTAACTATGTTGAGGATGAAGACGGTTCCATGCAAACACTTAATAAAAACAAGACCTTCTCTCTCGAGTTAAGAAAACAGATTTAAAAATAAAGAAAGAAAACATTTTCAAAAATGTTCCTTCTAAACTTAGTATTTTAAATCCACTTAAAAGGAAAAATGAAATTTTCTACTTTGTTAGTACTAAAGAAATGTATGTAGACATAAAAGACACAATAGGAGCTGTCTTCTACCCCTTTTGACTAAAGAACAAATAAACAATAACTTAAAAAGTATTCCAGTTGAGATTAGATCAAAATAAGAATGGTCCATATCGGAGCTGTAAAAATTTTGATAAAATCCCAATTCCAAGCAGGAATAAATTCTCCCATAAAAATGGCCTTAATTGACAACAGAATTACAGACAGACAGGACTGCATCTTAGGTGCTGCTAGGGGAAACCTTGCTTACCAAAAATTTATGTTTTCAGTCTATCCAAAATTTGCTCTGGATTTGAAATCTGCAAATATAGATAAAACTTTATCTTTTATACATCACTTTGAAAGAAGTGACCTTATGAACCCAGGTGATAAACCATTCACCATAACCTATCTCATAGGATATGCCCTGACCAATAGTCACCATAGCATAGACTACAAGAAAGACGAGTACATCGAACTTGATGATGTCTTTTCAGAAATAGGCCATGTCAAAGATAAACAATTCTGCGACATAAATCCTCAAGATATAGGAGAAAGCTCAGAAAGAAAAGATAGTAACTTAATAAGAAACATGTCTTTAAAAATTGATAGTCTACGTCAGAATATCAAACAAATCTCTGAAGTAATAATGAGTAATAAAATAGACTTTCCTCATTTTTATAAAAAAGGTAAAACAGTAAAAATTAAAACTCTTGACGACAATACTAAAAAGAAAGAATACGTTTTCTCTACTTCTGGAAAAGCTGGTATTCAAACAATTGTAAATCATTGCATTAATCTCAACCAGATCATTGCAAGATGTCTCTTAAAAACTTCAAAAATAAGCCATTACCTTGGTATTTCAAAAGATATTTCTAAAGATATTTCAAAAAATAAAAATACCTTTTAACCAATTTAAAAACGATTTAGCCATTTTGGTTAAAAACAATCTTGATAAAAATAATTTTGAAAAATTCTTCGAAGTTATTGAAAGACAAAATAAACTAACTATCAAGCTAACCCAGTCTATGACAAACATTCTTCTTTTAGAAAACTCTTTAAAAACAACCATTTTGTTGAAGAAGTCGCCCAAAAGGCAAATATTGAAGGCACTCTTAAGGAAAACAACCTTAAGATCACTAATATACAAGAGCAGTTAAAACAACTGATAGGATGACCTCGATACCCGAGCTCAATAGATCAATCAACCTCCTTAATGAAAAAATAGATGGGTTGATTATAAACTTTAACTTAACGGCCAATAAATACGTAACCACTACACAGTTAGAAGTAGCATCTGCAAAAATTATTGCAGACATTACTAAAGAGTTATCTGAAAAGATTGACTCTTGCCCTTGTAATAAAAACATTCTTGAACACATCAAGAATATTTCCATCATAGAACAAAAAACCAAACCTGGAAAAAATATCAGGTCTAAGAAATACTCACCTCCCAATCCTAGTATTGGAAACCTGACTTAGGAAGCTCAAAAGACTCCCAGAAAATTGATATTTTCAAAAAAGAGCAAAAATGAAAGAAAGAAAATCTCTGAGAAACTTGAGAAATATTTCTTTAAACACTTCAATATGAAGATTATGATAAGGCTGACCAAAAACTTATTCAGCTTTTATCTTAGAAACTGAAGAATGCGAAGAATTGTATCAAAAAGAACCTAAACTTTTTGATCAATATTTTAGAATGACTAAAATAGATGAACCTGATACTGAATCAGAACAAGAAGATAACTTTAAAACTAATACAAAAACTGTAAAGTTCGAATATTCAGATATGGAAGATGATGAAGTAGAATCTTCTTATACAGCCGCAAGAAGAAGCATAAAAAAAAGAAATATGAGTTCAAAATGCCTGTCCACAATGGTATTCCAGACAGTAGCAAAGGACCCAATACGATCAATGTACTCAATATTGATTGTATCCAAGATCTAAAACTCGAGAAAGAGTTGTAGAAAAATGGGTTACTGATGAGATTTCACTAATCTTACAAACAAACCCAGATGAATTTGAGAAAGCAAAAAATGTTCTTCTACTTTTAGAACACAAAACTGATGGAATTGTGCAAAAGTTCCTAAGAAACAATAATTGGAATGAAGATTTGCATGGTTCAGATCTTTTTGATAATCTCATAAATGTCATATACACTACTTTCTTAGGTCTTGATTATATTTCTAATAAAGACTTTACCATTAATAAGAAAGTTGACGTAGCAAGAGTTTCAATGACAAAACTCCAATTACATGATATTAGTCTTCTCGACAAATACACATGTATGTATGAATCATATCTATATGATATTCCCCAGAGAAGTGAATATGCACAATGGATATCTGCTTATCTCATGAAAATGCCAATTATTGGAGAAATCTGTACTGAAAGATGGAAAAAAGAAGCTACTGGAGAAATCCAGCAAACAGTCTTTCTTATGCAACAAAAATTGCAAAGGAAGAAATTGATAGAATCTGTCAAGACAGATATAAACAACAAAGCTCAAAACAATAAGTAAATATTGTTGTAGCATTCTTTCTGATTTCAAAAATTTTGATATTGGAAGGAAAACTTATACTAAGAAAAAGTATAAAAACAAAAAGAAATACAAATCTTTCTGGAAGAAGAAGAAGAAGAGAAAATTTCACCAGGAAAATACTTCAAAAAACCTTCAAAAGAATCACCTAAGAAGACTACTCCTGTCCACAAGGAAAGAAAAAATGTAGATGTTGGATCTGCAATGAAGAAGGACACTATGCCAATGAATGTCCAAATAGAAAAAAATACCCTGACAAAGTCAAGGTTTTACAAACCGCTAATAATGGAGGATATGAAGCTCTTGAAGAAGAGTATGAAGATACAACATGTCTTTACATTTCATGTTGAAACTGATTCTTCATCAAATTCTGATGAAAACAAATCAACCACGGATGACTCAAACTAGTCTCATACAGACTCCACTTTTTAGGGAGAAGGAGTTTAACTTGAACCTCCAAAAAATTAATGACTCCCTTATCATGAACCTCACTAATCCAAACTCTATTTATGTTTCCGCCTTCCTTAACTTTAAAGGATATAAGAAATTTAGAGTACATTGTTTTGTAGACACAGGTGCATCTTTATGTCTTGCAAGCAAATTCATCATTCCGGATGAGCTCTGGGAAAATGCTCCCAAAGAAATTAGTGCCACTATTGCAAATGGTGAAACCATAATGATAAATAAAGTTTGTAGAATATTAATCTCGAACTCTCAGGAGAACATTTCAACGTTCCCACTATTTATCAACAAATTCAGGATTGATATCATAATTGGTAATAACTTTTGCCAAGTTTATGGACCATTTATACAATGGATAGATAGAATTGTCTTTCATCTTAATAATGATATGGTAATTATAAAAAAGGTTACAGAAGCCTATAGCAAAGGAAAACCAGATTTTCTTAAAACTCAAGAAAAAGGCTCTAAAGAAAAACAAATTCCGGGTACTAATATAACCCAAGAAGGAATTAATGAAGAAAGGATATTTCTATTCAAACTACCAGGTTTCAAACAGATTGAAGATCTTCTTGAAAAAGTTTGTTCTGAAAATCCTATTGATCCAGATAAAACCAAAGGATGGATGAAAGCTTCAATAAGCTCATTAATCCCAAAACGGTTATTAGAGAAAAACCTATGGTTTACTCTCCACAAGATAGAGAAGAATTCTCCAAACAAATCAAGGAATTACTTAATATGAGACTAATTATAGAATCAAAATCCCCTCATATGTCCCCTGCCTTTCTTGTCAACAAAGAAGCAGAGAAAAGAAGAGGAAAGAAGCGCATGGTTGTCAACTACAAAGCAATCAATGATGCAACTATTGGAGACTCAATAAATCTTCCCAATATGCACGAACTTTTGACTCTCCTACGAGGAAAAATATGTATTCAAGTTTTGACTGCAAGTCAGGTTTCTGGCAAGTCCTACTTGATGAAGAATCGCAGCTTCTCACTGCCTTCACATGTCCTGATGGACTCTTTCAATGGAAAGTACTACCCTTTGGGCTTAAACAAGCTCCTAGTATTTTTCAAAGACACATGCAGAACGCCCTTCGAGGACTTGAAAGTTTCTGTACTGTATACGTTGATGACATCATGGTCTTCAGCAAAAATGAACAAGAGCACTATGTTCATGTTACACAGGTTCTCAGAACCATTTTAAAAATATGGAATAATACTTTCAAAAAAGAAAGCTCATCTTTCAAAACAAAAATTAATTTTTGGGTTTAGAATAAATGAGGGTACTCATTGTCCTCAAAAGCATATTCTTGAACATTACATGACTTGCCAAATGTTTTAGAAGACAAAAAACAACTGCAAAGATTTCTTGGTGTTTTAACTTATGCTGAAACATATATTGAAAAACTTGCAGCCATGAGAAAACCTTTACAGGTAAAATTGAAAAAAGATGTCATCTGGAATTGGTCAAATACTGATACAGACTACATCAAAAAGATAAAGAAAGTTTTAATCAATTTTCCAAAACTTTATCTTCCAAACATTGAAGACAGTTTAATTATTGAAACTGATGCTTCTGATGAATTTTGGGGAGGTGTTTTAAAGGCTAAAAACCCCAAAAACGAAGAACAAATTTGCAGGTACACCTCTGGCAGTTTCAAAGCAGCCGAGAAAAACTACCATAGCAATGAAAAAGAATTACTCGCTGTAAAAAGAGTTTATTACAAATTCTCTGTATATTTAACACCAGTAAATTTTTGGTTCGTACAGATAATAAAAATTTTACTTATTTCCTCCGAACTAAGATTGCAGGAGACAACAAATTAGGCCGACTAATACGTTGGCAAGAGTGGTTCTCACTAATCTTGGGCAGGCCTAAGCCCCTCTTTATATCGTGAGTTACATGAGAGGGGGAGATTAGAGAGAAATGACATATTCCTCAAGCCAGATATTTCAAAAAATAAAATACCTTTTAACCAATTTAAAAACGATTTAGCCATTTTGGTTAAAAACAATCTTGATAAAAATAATTTTGAAAGACAAAATAAACTAACTATCAAGCTAACCCAGTCTATTGACAAACATTCTATTTCTGAACAGGGATTTGTTACTCGCAGACCACTATTGGTCAGGGCATATCCTATGAGATAGGTTATGGACACCAGCCAAGAAGATCTTCGTCTCATACAGATCTGATACCAGTGTGGGTGTACGGAATTTGTAGGTGTCTGGAATACCACAAAACATTTATCAACTTCCTCGAAGGAGCAGATGCAAATTTAGTCCACCAAGCCTTTCAACTTCCTTCACTAATCTTACAGGCCTGTGGTCTGTGTGGTCTGTGAAAATAGACTTTCCTCATTTTTATAAGAAAGGTAAAACAGTAAAAATTAAAACTCTTGACGACAATACTGAAAAGAAAGAATACGTGATTGAATCCATAGAAATTCTTGGTCTAAGAGTTTCTCCTAGAGCTTTTTTGTTTGTGCATCTATTTCCTTCTAAATTTTAAAAATATAAAACAAATTCCGTACACCCACATTGCTATCAAGTTCGATGTACTCGTCTTTCTTGTAGTCTATGCTATGGTGACTATTGGTCAGGGCATATCCTATGAGATAGGTTATGGTGAATGGTTTATCACCTGGGTTCATAAGGAATAACTTCGAAGAATTTTTCAAAATTATTTTTGACAGTTTCAAAGCAGCCGAGAAAAACTACCATAGCAATGAAAAAGAATTACTCGCTGTAAAAAGAGTTATTACAAAATTCTCTGTATATTTAACACCAGTAAATTTCTTGGTTCGTACAGATAATAAAAATTTTACTTATTTCCTCCGAACTAAGATTGCAGGAGACAACAAATTAGGTCGACTAATACGTTGGCAAGAGTGGTTCTCACGATATACTTTCACTGTTGAACATCTCGCAGGAAATAAAAATGTACTGGCAGAGATTTCTCAACATAAAGAAATAGTTTTAATTTTTACTGTTTTACCTTTTTTATAAAAATGAGGAAAGTCTATTTTATTACTCACTCTTCATTGTTTATTAGGTAAATAATTCAAACTGGATTTTTATTGTTGAGTACTAATATTTATAAGGACTAATATACAAGATTTAGCTTGCAAGATTGTGAAATATTCTGGTCAATCTGAGATTATTCAAAGAATTGCATCAGAATAGTTTGTGGTTTTAAAAAGGCTAATTGTTCCAAGAAACAGAATGGTAAAAATGTAAGTTGGTTGTGTTAAATGGTAATATAATTGTAAAAAAGTTGCATTAAATTGTTTAATGGTAAAATATGTAAGTTGACGTTTGTTTTATATAATCTGTTTTTAGTGATGACCTGTTTCAGGAAACAAACAATGAACAAGAAAAGAATAGTGAAATTGAGGTTGCATTAACAGCTTCATTAGGTACTATCTTATTGTTTTCTTCTACAATTCAATAGCTGGAACCATTTTTATAAACTTCAATTCGTCCTGAATATGCTCTAAATTTTCTGGAAAGATATTGCTTAGCCTTGAACAACTAATTCTTCCGTAACACCATGATTGAAGTTTGGTTTGCATGAATGGTTGTGGATTTGGTTTGGCATCAGTCTTTTAGTTTTGATTTTTTTTCGGATAATAGGTTTTTTTTGTGTTGGTTGCCTCAAAGTACATCCATTATAGATTTGTTTCTAGTTACATTTTAACTTGATATAAATGGTTATATATTCTTTATATATAATTATAAAGGGTTAAATGTGATAAATAGCAATGTAAATAATACATTGTATTTTTATATTATAGGTGAAATGCCTTTAGTACATATATTTCGAAAGTAAAATACATGAGATTACAATTGGACAGGAAATACGGAAAAGAAGAATGTGAGTGCAAGTTTTACTTATTATATGAACATGTCAAATGAAAACCACACCTAAATGTGTGTGCGAGGCTTAAGACCAAAACATCCAAGGGCAATTTTGTCCAATTTTGTCTAGAGAATCCAAAACCACTTTATCAGTTCATATCGAACAAAAGTTTCATTTTATAATGACTATTCCCCAAAGTTGTCAAAATCTAAACTCTATTTTTTGTTGCTAATATAATATGTGCTAAATATATATGTTTGATTTGTATATGATATTTTGATCGCAAAGGTTGGGAAAGTTTGTGTGGCAAATCTACACTAATATTTAGTGCTTTTGCATCTCGAGTGAGTATCTACAGGGGTTCGATAATTGGATAGGAGGTTAAACAAGCGAGTAAAAAGCATGTATTAAAACAACATTGTTTAGAACCATTCTCAATCATGGGTGCTCCTCTACTGCAAGTGATATGTTGCATTTTTAATTGATTTTGAATCAAGTATACATCATTATACTATTGTGAATCAAGTATTAATTTCTTTGGGTTTATTTCAAGAGAATGATATTATAATATAACAGTATAATCATTGAATTTTGTTAATAATTTTTTTGCAAATATTTCATTAGTCATTACGATTTTGAATTATAAATAATGTTTTTTTAACCGTGGTTTCCGCGGGTTTAAACCCTAGTGTGTGTGTGTGTGTGTGTGTTATATATTAGATAATATATATAATATATATATATATATATATATTATATATATATATATATATTATATATATATATATCATAAGGCAGGTCCATTGGTTTTTCATGCCTGGGGCGAAATGATGAAATAATGCCCTTATGTCCAAAAAAATATTTTTATTATTTTGTATCTACTTAAATAAATAATTAAATATATGCGCAAATTAATATAAACATCAACAACTAATGAAACTAACTATAAAACATTAAATTGTTAATTCATTTACTATCAAAACACTTAAAATAAAAATATTATGTACTTCTCAATTACAAAAACCTCAACAGCAAGCATTCATTTATTATCAAAACACTAAAAAAAAAAATATTATGTACTTCTCAGTTAAGAAAACATTAACAACAAGCAAACTCCATTTACCATGTCCTTTTCTTTTATTTGATTCTGAAAACACGGATGCTATCACTTATGAAAGTTTACACAACTAAACTTCAATCAAAGATTTACTTCTTTTCATCATTGTTACTCCAATTAAACCGTTTTCACATTTTAAGCACAACAAGATTGCATCTATGAACAATATCTTGGCACTTGATATTTTTATGCACAACACTATAAATTTCATAACTTGGTGAACACTACAAAACAGGGAAAAAAAAGTAATATTAACAAAAATAGTGAAAAATAAAGTAAATTATATCTATACTTTCAAAAAAGATGAAAAGTTCCTAAGATAAAAGTAGCTATAATATAATCAAACAACCAAGTTTAAAGCAATACCTTGAGTTCATACTGAATTGCCCTTAGAGCAGTTGCAACTATGACCATCTGTATGATGTGGAACATACAACAGATGAGCAAAACTCTACAAATGGAAACTAATAAAAGCCAAAAAAAAAAAAAATACTAACCAAAAGCAAGTTGGAGCTCTCTATTCCTAACTCTTACTTTTGTTCTTTGAACAAAAAAAGACATTCTTAATTTATTTTCTTTGGAATTACATCAAAGCTTGGTGAGCACAAACTTAAAATCTTGACAAAAATTCAAAGCACCAAATTCTTTCAATTAGCTCATTTAATTCCCTGCAAAATCACTCTTTTTTGTATGAAATCAAAATCATATTCATCGAAACCTCACAAATCTTCAGTTTTCGGTATTTGTTTCAGAAAAAAAAAATCAAACTCCGAATATAGTGAACATCAATTGGAAACGGGAATGAGAAGAAAGAAATCAGAATAATAAAAAAAGGAATTCATAGAGATCAAACTCACCCACTCCAGAAATCAAAAGCTCTCAAAATCTTCATATTTTTTATGTTTGCTTCATAATAATAAAAAAATGAACTCATACTAGAGGAAGGGTATCAACAATTGAGTCCAAGTTAACCACCATAAAGCACAAACACTTGGAGTCTTGAAGTAACACAAATCGGAATTTGGATTATTGGATGATATAGCAAATACGTGCAGTAGGTTTAAGAGAGAAACAGAGAAACTAGAATGAGAATGAAATAGAAATCAATCAGATCAGAGGGATGAAAATGTATTTAGTCGATTAGAGGCTCCTCGATCTCTATATATTTCGTTTTTCTAGATGATCGATAGGTTTGGCGATTGCTATTCTTGCTTGGATTATTTGGCGCCCACGCTCTTAGCTTGTCGATATTTGCCTCCAGTCCCAACATCGCACGCAGACGCAGACATTGAACTTGGACCACTTGTTGGACTAAACTTTGGACCAAATATACAATTATTTATTGGACAGACTTATGCCCCTCTTTTTTTCTGCCCTGGGCCATAGCCCAACTCGCCCATGCCTGGGTCGGGCCTATATATATATATTATCTTATAAAAAAAATCTTATTACTTTTATAAATAAATTTAATATAATAATATTATTTTTTTAAAATGTTGAAACCATTAAAATAATAGTACAAATAACCAGTAATAAAATAATAAAATAATATTATAATATTAAATGTTCAAATGATATTACACGTACAAACATCCGATACAATGCATAAAAGATTCAATTTCATTTGCAATGCATAAAAGATTCAATTTCATTTGATTGGGCTTTCCTTATACGTCGGTATTTCCAAGTTGAAAGACAACACTCATTCAAATAACAAGCCATAATTACGGAGGAAAGAGAGGGATTTGTTGCTCCACTTCTACAACTTTCTCCAAATTCATCACTGGTTGATCTTTATCGCTCTAAACCCTAACCATCATCGTTTTCCATAAACCTTAAAGCAGCCGCCAATCAACATCGACTTCACCAACTTCGAACATCGGAGACTAACACAAAGTAGAAAAAGGATATCAAATTATCAAATGGAGTGATCTCTAACCCTATCTTTATCTCGGACGTCCGGTCAGCCACCACTGCTAGCACCACCACCAAGCAACATCGACGTCAATATTATCTATCACGACAGTACCACCACCACTACCGAACACAAATACGATAAGATATGTCAGATGTGCGTGTGTTTTTATTTTGTATTTCGAAAATGAAGATGTGTGTATTTTTTATATTATGCTTATGTTTTATAAGTTTATCAGTTTATGTTGGTGTGTGAATGAGTATAAATATGTTTTACGTATAAATCAATATATGTGGGTATTTCTTTAATGTTTTCAGATTCGGGTCTCTAATAGGTTATGTTTCATGTTTTTGGATCTGGATATACGAATGGTAGAGACAGACAAATTGATCTCTATGAGTTGTTGCAGATATGTGTAGCTTTCAGTGTTTTGTAATACATATCTGTGTATCTGGCTTTTGATTATTCTTCATTTGGTTTGTTGCAGGTTAGCAAACAAAATTCTTGTGTTTGTTACACTTTATCAAAAAAACCCTTTTCTGGTGCCTGTTATCAAAAGCATACTCATTGTTTCTTCTTTTTGAATGTTTTTATAGCCTTGAGTAAGTTCATGTAGCCTCAAATTATCTTGAATGTTTATTGTAGCTTCAGGTTGAGGAAAGTTATGTTGGTATCTATTTTAACATTTTGGAAAAAAAAAATCAGTTGCTTCTATTGGGAAGAACAAGGAGAAGTTGGCAAGGATGTACGAGGTTAAAGATCCAAATGTCATCTTTGTATTCAAATTAAGAAATCACTTTGGTGGTGCCAAGTCAACATGTTTGGATTGATTTATGATTCTGTTGAGATTGTGAAGAATTATGAACCAAAATACAGGATTATCAGGGTAATTATCTCAATAAATTTTCTTTACTGATAGAAGCATTTGTGTTATTTCTACTTCTGTTTGTGTGTTCGCACTTTTTTTCTTTAAATCTCTTATGTCTTTTTGGTTCTTTGTAGAATCGATTGGATACCAAGGTGGAGAAGTCAAGAAAGAGCATGGCAAACTAGATCAAGAGGTGTAAAGAAGGTAATTAGTTAATTTACCAGTTTGAAGTTATCCTAGATAATAGAAAAGCACTTTAAATTCATTAATGGTTAGGTAAGACTACCATTTATGTAACAATGTCGATTATTACCAATTTGTTATTCCATGTTTCAGTTTGTCACATTTTTATTACGCTTTCGGGAAGAACAAAGAATAGTAGAGGATCCAGCATGCGGAACACAGCGATCATTAGAAATTCACGAATTAGAGATGTTGTAATATTCCCATAACTTCTCATACCAGACCAACCTACTAAAATGCAAATAGGAATCAGAAATGTGGTCAATATCACGAAGAATAAAGAGATACCGTCTATACCCAAAATAAAAATGGATGTTTTCATAAGGAAGCCATCGAAGGCTTTCCACAAATTGAGATTTGGCATTATTTTTTGGATTAGTTTTATAAACCGGTAAAACAAGTGTATCTTAGTTGCTTAAATATTTAAGCTTTTATTTCATTATTCAGGTTGACCTGGAGGCTTTGTCAAAGAAAATACATGTTTATTTTCTGTTGTATTTAAAACCATTTTTTTATGAACTGGAGTTGGTTCTTGTAAATCATGTTCAAGTGTGGATCTGCAGCAAAATGGTTGGGTAAGACTAACATAGTTATTGTAGCTCATGAGCCTTGTTCCAACATGGATCGCCTTGAATATGGTCTTCACGAGGAAGAAGGTAGAGTTGCATCACTAACTAACATTTTTTATTCATCACCAATTTCTTATAATGATCTAATTAGTATTAAAAGTATGCTATTTTTCTTTTATGTGCTTGCTTCTTGTGTGATGTATGAATGATAGGGTATTGTGATTTGCTATTCATACAAACAGGGTCACCAACAAAGGATTTAGATGTTTATTCCTTTGTGTGGTGTTTGAATTTTTATGTGGGGGGTTGTGTATAGGCATCACAATATTACAGAGCTTGAGAGTTATAAGGATTTGGAGGCCGTTTTTAATCCATTTTGCAGGTAAGTCACTATTTAGTGATACAAATATCAAATTTCATTATTTGTAAGCTGCTAATTGGTGAAACAAAATATCGAATGTCATTCATATGTTTTTAATAGCATCATACTTTCTTTTTTTAATTATAATAAAATATACACGGGTCAAATTATATTCCAACAATAACAAGTAGGTTTGGTTATGGATAATATTGAAAGAGGTAATCTGGTCAAAAAAGAAAAACTGTTGGAATCTTTATGTATAAAGATGTTGTAACATAGTTAGGATTTCATATTAATGGTTTCCCAATATTCACATGGTTTTGGAAGGGATAAGGTTGGTCAAGTATATGCCAAATTGGTTAAATTTAAATTTGAAGGTAAGTGTGTGATTTTGCAACTCATTGCTATAAGAAAACAAATACATAAGGCATTTTTTACTCTTCTAACTTAATGACGACAAGAGATATTTTAATTGTCATTTGTTTGTGTCATGTAGCCGCGTAGCCGCTTCTACATATTGAATAAATGCTTAATTATTGTCAAGTGTGTGTGAGTTTGTTGTTCCTGGTTTAAACATTGATTTTCTATCTTCTCAGTGTTGGGCTTGTTCTTTTTACTATAATTGGATGTTAAAAGGAATTGTATTTGATTCCAATTGACCTTGGTTTGATTAGTAAATATAGAAAGTAAATTACTATTTTTATTTGATTAAGTAGGATGCTATTATTGGTAAGAAATGCTGGCATGTTGTAATTACGTGAAAAGAAATGTAAGTATGTTTGTTAACAACTTCTTTTCTGCTAATATGAGAATGCAAGTTTAAATGGTCTCTTTGGTAAGGGCTAAATAAACTAACCAACGATGCAATTTCATATACGACATGTTTGTCTCTGATTTGTGTAACATTTATAACATAACTTTTTGTTAAACTAACATTTTCAACTTTTTATTATTTTTTTGTTATTCTTTTTTGCTTATTTATTAAATATTAGAAGATGACTCAAGTTTGTGGAGTGTATGACATGACATTTTAAGTTAGGTTTTATCAGTTTTTATAAACGTGACATGCAATATACAAATATAAGGAAACAACTTCTAATGTCAAAGTAAATTCAAAATTTACGTTGTTTAACCATTGTGAATTAGAGACGGATAATAACCAAATAGCCGGTTATCTACTAGCAATTTGAGATAGATAATTGCAATTAAAATATGGTGCAATAATTCTTTTTAGTGATGGTAATTAAAAAGTTCATTACTTCATTTTAGGATTTTAATTTGAGCCACTGTTTTCTTCTTGAAAATAAAATCTAATTTGGCCACATATATTAGAGACTATAATATGCTTTATTTTAAATGCTAATGGTTAGTGATAATACATAATTACAGTAACTTGATATCTATTTATTTTTGACAAAAAAATACAATAATAAGGTAAATTGGAAGTTATTAATTAAAAAAACAATTGTTATTGAAAATGATTCTTTATGTGAAAGCGGTAATTAAAAAGACATTTATTCATTAAAAAGACGATTCTGGAACAATGTGAACATGTCCCTAACGTCTTGTTCACAGGTTCTACTTAAGAAGGGATATTGATGGATATGAAGGGAACGTGAGGGATTTCGAAGGAAAATCGTGTTCTCGAGTTTAATTGATGGAAGAAAGTGAGGGGAATGAAAGGATTTTGAAGTCATATTTTTCTTCTAAATTTTCCTTCCAAATTGGGAGGATTCCGAAAGAAAATGAAGAGAAGGAAAACCTTTTAGTTATATTTTCTTTTTCCTCCTTAATCAGGTACACAAAAACTTGAAATTTCTTTTCATTTCCTTTGAACTCGGGAACAAAGAATAAGAAATTTATTCCTTCCCTCCCTTTATTTTTATCAATATTTTCTTTCCCTTTTCTTTATTTAATATACAAAAAAAAAAAAAAAAAAAAAAAAAAAAAAAAAAAAACCCTTAGGAACAAGGCATAAGTGGATGATTCTAAAAAAAATGAATCATAGAGACACATACCATTATATCACATGAAAATATGATTGGTAATTCAATATTCAACAATCTATCAGTTTAACCCTATTCTTGTGGGTCAAGAAGAATATATACTCCTTCGATATGCCTGCATGTAATTTTTTTTTAATATCCAATAGAAGAAACTATACATCGAAAGGAAAATATTTGTCGCATACCACATTGCACAAGGTAACCCAATAGATATATCTTATTTACCGATGCATTGCATGTTTTTTTTGGAGATGCGACATTTTTTCCGAAATAAAACTAATCTAAACAAGAAAATTATTCACCGAATAGGACTAATCGACACAAGGATACAACCGTCGCCGAAAAGAATTGATCACCGCTCGAAAATTATTCGTCACCGCCGCTTTGCGCGGGTACACAACTAGTATATATATATATATATATATATATATATATATATATATATATATATATATATATATATATATATATATATAAATATATATATATATTGGCATATTCTGTAATCTGTGTTGGGATACCATTGGAATTTGGAAATATCGGGATTTTGGGTTTTAATGTTTACACTCCTTAACCACTTGTAATGTTTGATGATTGCAATGGAATTGGACCACGAGCTATAGCAACCTTAGCCTTTATATCACTCTAACAACCAATATTAAATATTGTGTCCACCAAGTATTCATATGAGATCTCCACAAATGGAATTTAACCATAGTTTAACAACAATATAATTATATAAAAATCAACCTACAAATTCCTCAAACAGATTTTTTTTTTTTGTTTTTTTTTTTTTACTTTGATATCTAACATATTATTTATTTCATTTACGTAAAGATTACACATGAGAATAGAACCATAAGCATATAGAAACGTAGAATAATTTTCTTTTTACCTTTTAAAATACTCATCTACATTAGAAATCGTAGAAGACCATTATGAATTTATTTCCAAAGTTAATTCTATAAAACTAAGAACAATGACAAGTGTTAGCTTTTTTATGTTTGGTAAATTATACGTAAAAGAACTTATATTTCTTATTTCAAGAAATATATTATTAGTATTTTTTTTCTTTAGTTATATTAAATGAAATTCATTTTTTCTTTAATAATAGAAGTTAAAAATAAGTTTTCTGTGCAAATTGTTTCTTGTTTTCTAAAAAACGGTCTCATTTTTTAATTTCTATAGCTATAATATCTTCGTTGTCCCGTGAAAGGAGTATAGTGGTTGAGGAATGAAATATCATACATGATGTCCAATGTTAAGTTTAAACTTGTTACGCTCAAAATATTTTTATTATTCTGCAATTAATCTCCCACATAGACCTTATGACTGATTGACGTGGACCGTTCACTGTTGATTATCATTTTTTTTTTATAATTGTTGAAGTTATAATTAATTGTACTTTTTAGGCCCCAAAAATTAAATATGGGTAACAAACTTATACTAAATTTATCCCTAAACCATATTTATTACTAGTAGTTTATCAAAATACTTTTAGCCAAATGGTATCAAGTGTTGTCTTCTCCCCTTAAGATTGAGGGTTTAAGTCCCTTTGTGGACATAGGTGGAATATATTATATAAAAATTTTCAAAATGAGCAATATATGTCATTATCCAATTATTTTTTTTTTTTTTTTTTTATGCTTTTCATATATGATGCGAAATTTTAAGGGTTTGTTAAAAGATTTCACAAACTGTTGCATGTAAATAAATTCTTGATGATAATTGTAGTGGTAATGTGTTATCCAATTTTGCACAAACTATTACGTATAAATGAAGATGGGGAAAACCCAAAAAGTAAAGATAAGATGTGGAACCAGTCAAGCTTGATTTTTGGTCGGTTATACTCGACTGTTCTCTACTCGACCACGTATTTTAATTGAATATATGATTAAGACTTGGATCTAGTGTGGACCAGTTAGACAGACTTAAGTTGGCCATATTGGTTTAATGGCCAAGATTTTTTTTCTATTTGGCAAACGACTTATTCTTTTGAAGTTCGTTTAGGGTAGTTTGGGAATTTACTTATGTCTATGTTTAAATTGTCAGACATGGTTTTAAAAGTCTCAAACACGGTTTTAATAAAACTTGGACGAGTTAGTATGAAGAAAGTCATGTCGAGTAGGAAAGATGGGGGTTTTATTAAAACTTGGATGTGTTAGTATGAAGAAAGTCATGTCTAGTAGGAAAGATGGGGACCTTTGAGGTTGATAGTTTTTTTGCTCTGGGATAATGACTTGAAAAAGTAACAAACTATAT